CAGACCTCAACTAATTATTTTTGTGTTACCTTTTAATTATATAAAATATGGACAGTTGGCAGATATAGGTATCGGAGAAATAGAGCTTAATTATGATAGACGAGAGGCGGTAGACCTGACTTACCCTCACATCATAGACCACATTACATTCACGTCACCCCCACCTAAACTATATCAGACAACAAGTCTATTCAAACCATTTAATACCAATGTCTGGATTTGGAGTTTAGTTATGATTGCAATCACATCAACACTACTAAGGATTAGTAGCGGAAGTATGTCTTCAATGGATAGTATTTGGAAAATTGTGTCCATATTTTTGAGACAAAGTGTTGGAAATTTTAAATGTAAAAGATTTATGATCAGGGTTGTGTTAATGAGTTTACTATTGGGTTGTATGGTATTGAGTACATGTTATGCGGGATGTGTTTATTCAATCATTGCTTCCAATAGTTAACATAAGATTCAGACAATTGAGGACTTGGCTAATGCACAGGAGTCCGGGTATTTGCAGATATTGTCAACAGATATAACTCGAAACCAACGGTTATTTAAGGTATGAATGAATACTGCTTTTTCTCTTTAATAATTAAAATATTTAATGTCAAACAGAATAAGACATCCGAATATCATACAAGAATTGGCAAATATTTAAAGCACGTTGCTTTGGAAACACTCTTTAAGAAATTGAATGACACTGATACTATTTATTCAACCATAGGCTCCAGACGCGAGTTAACCTTTTTTATGCATTTGCATCACATTCGTAGGCATACTGTACCTGATCATTCAATCGATACATCATTTGCATTGGAAATGATTACAATGGCTTTACACAAACAATCAAAATATACTCAACACTTAAACAATTTGTAAATAATTTATAAAATTAATGATTAATACTTTTTAATATGAAAATCTTATAATAATTATTTATTTAAAGTATTTTGGACATATTAAAAGCTGGTTTATTAGATCATTGGACATGGTTACTATACATACAATTATTCAACAAGGACATTCACTCTTACAGAACGAATACAATATCAATTGAATCATTCCTATTGTCTTTGAATGAACTGCAAATACTTATGCAAAAAATCTTAATTTTATATTGTGTTACAATAATTATCCTAATTAGTGAATTAATATTTAAACACATTGTATGCATTTAAATGATTAACTTTATTGATATGTGCAATAATTAAAATGGCATGTGAAAATATAGTAATACGTTTTGAACACAATTTAAACTATCAAAATAAAGTTGTTTTTATAATAACTAATTAACTATTAATAAAATTATAAATAAATATTATTAATTTTGATAAATTAATTAAATCAGTATTTGCATATATTTTGGACAAAGCGTTCAAATAAACAATTGTAACAAAGTTATCAAATTACTATTATTGAGTTTACAATTTGTTTGCCTTATATTGAGTACATGTTATGCGGGATGTGTTTATTCTATCATAGCCTCCAATAGTGGGCAAAAGATTCAGACAATTGAAGACTTGGCTAATGCACAGGAGTCCGGGTATTTGCAAACCTTAACAACAAATATAGAAAGTTTTCAAAAATTGTCCAGGGTGAGTTTATTCTCTCTCATAATTTGAAGTATTATACTGTATGTTAATATCATTTGTAAAACAGGAAGAAATATAAATATCTGAATATCACACAAGAATTGCAAAATATGTAAAACACGATTTCCTGAACTATGAGATTGAATGACACTGATACTATTTATTCAGTGATAGCCACCAGAAATGGTTTACAATTTTTCATGCATTTAAATCATATTCGTACGCATACTGTCCCTGATCATTCAATAGATACATCGTTTGAGATATTCATAATTTCTATCGCACTTCGCAAGCAATCAAAATATACTCAATATTTAAATGAATTGTAAATAAAAGTTTTAAAACTATTATTTAAATTAAATATCTTACATCAATTTATTTTTTAGTATAATGGATATATTAAAATCTGGTTTAATGGGTCATTGGACATGGATGCTATACATAAAATCATTTAACATGGATATTAAATCCAAAATGTACAGGATGAATATGCTTTCAAACGAATCCTCGCAGTTATCATTAAATGACATTCAAATACTTATGCGAAAAATCGTGGTTTTATATTGTGTTGCAGTTTTAATATTTGTTAGTGAATTGCTTATTTATATATGTAGAGAATATATAATATTACAGTCAGTTGTAAATGTCAACATTAAATTGAATGTGAAATTCTAAGAAAAACTTTAAATTCTGTACGTGCACAATGTAATAGATAAGATAATATAATCATTACATTATAAGATAATATAATCATTACATTATAAGATAATATAATCATTACATTATAAGATAATATAATCATTACATTATAAGATAATACCAAAATAATATAGAATCTACTGTAGAATAAAATACATTTATTTTAAGAAGTATTTTTATAAAACATTGCGTGTTTTATTTTATGATGATTATAAATTGTTTTGAGTGTAATATATTACTATTGATTAAATATAACAAACAAGTAAATAAATGTTATTTGATGTATTTACAAAATAAATTATTCTAATATCGATTAATTTTACCAATATAGTAAACAATTGTATGAAAATTATTTTCTTTAAATCATTATTCATTTGATTGCAATTTAATAATAAAATTAAATAAATGTCATTATAAATGGAAAGGTAAATTTAATAATTCTTTAATTCTTTAATTAATAAATTAATTTGATCTTGAATAACATAATAAAATTGTTGATTAAAATTATTTGTGTTTATTTTATAATACTAGTTATGCCATAACTGTTATAGAGTTGATTATCACTAAAGTTATAAAGTACAAATTATATATAAGAACCTGTAGTTATTATTATGGTTAACCTTAATGGCCAAAATATAATTATTGTTACAACTTTGGTAAACTCTTTTAGGTTTATTAAATTCATTTATTGTTTTAATACTCAATTTAATTGTTTATCATCCAGGCACGTCCGCTTATATTTCTGGGTTATAGGCCAGGTAGTAAGACTATGGAAATAATGTACGGAATTGAGGCTCAATTATTAAAAACATTGCAATTAAAGTGGAACATTACGTATGATATTATTGATACCAATAAATCCTGGGGCCATAAACAACCAAATGGATTATTTACAAACGGTAGTATTATCGATTTAATTCAATCAGGGGCAAGTACTTATTTTAGTTATATACATTCCTATATTTTAGTGAGTCCAGACCTCAACTAATTATTTTTGTGTTACCTTTTAATTATATAAAATATGGACAGTTGGCAGATATAGGTATCGGAGAAGTAGAGCTTGATTATGATAGACGAGAGGCGGTAGACCTGACTTACCCTTACATAATAGACGACATTACATTCTCGTCACCCCCACCTAAACTATATAAGACAACAAGTCTATTCAAACCATTTGATACCAATGTCTGGATTTGGAGTTTAGTTATGATTGCAATCACATCAACACTACTAAGGATTAGTAACAGAAGTATGTCTTCAACGGACAGTATTTGGAGAATTGTGTCCATATTTTCAAACCATTTGATACCAATGTCTGGATTTGGAGTTTAGTTATGATTGCAATCACATCAACACTACTAAGGATTAGTAACAGAAGTATGTCTTCAACGGACAGTATTTGGAGAATTGTGTCCATATTTTTGAGACAAAGTGTTGAAAATTTTAAATGTAAAAGATTTATGATCAGGGTTGTGTTAATGAGTTTACTATTGGGTT